TTTTAACTTTCCCTCAACTGGGCAAAAGCTATGATCCATGAGCCACAGTCCTTGAGGGAAAAAAGATACCAAGTGTTGAGAAATGGGTGGATTACCTTATTGTTTCACTAAGCTTGGCACCATGAGTCTAACACTCAAGGAAAAATACCTTACTTTTGCCTGATCCTCCAAATCTTTGCTTAGAGGGGTCCTCATATTCCTCCTAATTGGGCTTATGAACAATCTTGGCAAGGCCATGGTGCTACAGATAACTTCAGGCACCAAGCAGACTTGAGGAGATCTAGTCTTTGAATGGTAGAAGGCATTTTGAAAGGGGTGGTGGTGGGGATGGGTGTTTGAGAGCAGAGGCATGCATATTGCATGCACCTTGTGCAGGGCCACAGGCTTTCTTTCCACTGTTACCAGGAAAAGAAAATCATCATCATGGCCTCAGTGATGGAAGCAGCAGCAGATCACTCACTGATAGAAAGAAGTTTATCTTAAAAAACAATTTTTTTTTTTTTCCTGGCAGAATCACAGGTTCCAGGGTGAATATGGGCATCAGTTCAACTTCTAATCTTTTAAACTTCCAGCCAAATTATTTTAAGCATTAATAAACTTAAATAAAACATTTTACTTTTCTAGGGAGCTAACATATCTCATAAATTATTTGTTTAAAGCTTTCCCCTGGTTTTCTTACCAAACTTTTCCCCAGGCATTTCTAGACAGGTCCCTTCTCACTCCTTCACACATATACAATACCAGACCTCTATGTCATGCAGGAGAGCAACACATAGGGTCGAGCATCTTCACTTTTCCATTTCATAAGTAAAATAAAAAGATTTTCATTAAAACTAACATCTAGCATATAAAATTCAAACAAGACTTTACCGATTCTGTCCCATTAAAAAATAAATGTTTTAAATATTCCTGGAAATAAGTGAGCCATTGAATGTAAGATACTAAACTTTCCAGTTTTTTTACAGACTAAAACTTGGCACTGGACAATGATTATTTGAAAAAGGAAAACAAAGAATTGAAGTAATAAACAAAAACAAAACAAAACAAAAAAAAATGAGGGTGAGGTGAAGCAAATTCAAGTCAATTTAAACTATAACTTGTAGGTGAGATTTTGACACCACCTTTAAATCTCCATACAGAACAAATTCAAAGCTGGATAAACTAGTATTGTAAACCTGATTTTTTGAGACTGAGAGTTTAGGAAAACAAAAATATTTCTACTCTGGCTATAAGTTCAGAAAGGCAACAGCTCAAGGACTTTATTTTCTTGTTTTAAAAATAGAAGTCTACTCAAAAATTTTAATGTCTAAAACATCAATGGCAAATATAGTTTCAGTAATTAAATGAAGCACCTTATCATATTACATGTGCCTTTTTGTTAATGTGGATGCCTATGCTTACTTTTGGTTCATTTAGTGAGCCGAAGAAAAAAAATTTTTTTTTCATCCTTAAGTTCCTAGAATACCGGAATACTGACCCAGATGATTGTGCTATTTCATGTTTATCGAAGATGATTCTGAATTTCACTAAAACCACAAAGGAAACCAAAAGTCCCACATTAATAGTCCCACCAAACAGGAAACAAAAAGCGGAAATTAAGAGCTTGAGGAGATAGAAGTGACTTCAGCAAAACAGCCTCAAAGTTTAACCCATCTCCACCTTGACTTAACCCTGGTTCTTACCCTGGTTCCTTCCGGACCCTTCCCCTTCTGTAAGGCAAATAGGAAAGGTGCATGGGTTCAGATAAATACGATTCTAGTTGTGGCTGCTCCACTTTTTGAGGACCCAGCCTCAGTTTTCACAGCTGTCCAGTAGGGTCATAATACCTGTCCCTCACTGGGACATTGCCAGGATCACATAAGAATACGCTGTCCCAAGATAAGCGAAAGCCACCAACTTGGGAGGGTTGCCAACAGGACTCAGCTTGGTTCCCCTCCCGGCAAGGCTGGTTCGACCTACAGTCAACAGGAAGCTCCCGGGGCAGGGACAGGATCCCAGCCTCGGAAAGAGGCCAGACGCGAACGTTTTTGGACGGCGACCAGGGTGGTGAGGAGAGTGTGAGCAACGCCTTCCTAGCTCACACGGCTGGGCTGAGATTTTACTATCCACGACAAAGAGTGCGGAAGCACAGTACCGAGAAGCAAACAGCCAACCAAGAAAAACTCAACCCTGCTCTCCCCCACGAAAACAAAGCTCCAAAGCCCTCGGCACGACGGCCCCAGAGCAGAGGGGCACGAGAAAAGGCAGGGGGGCGGAATCGGCGCGCCCCATTCAATCGCCGCGGCAGCCGCGGGCCCGCGGGTGGGCAGCGGCGCTGCGGGCCTGCTCCGCGGGTGGAGAAGCGCCTCCTCCCCACGCCCCCTCAGCCTGCGCCGCCCCAGGAATCCGCCCCGGACCCCGCCGCCATGTTGGGTCAGGAGGAGTGACCCGGACCCGCCGCCGACCCGGACCTCGGCTGAGCGGCTCTGGGCCCGCGGAGGGGCGGGGGGCGCCGGCGCCGGAAGGCGCGAGAGTCGGGCCAGCGCGGCGCGAGTTCCGGTAAGCGGGCGGTAGCGCGCAGGTAGCCGCAGCCCCCGCCCCGCGCCCGCCCCCACCGCGGAGCGGAGGGGGCGGGGCCGCGAGAGGAGGAGGTGAGAGTGGGGCTGAGGGGTGGGGAGCCCGGGAATTCCCTCCTCCAGAAGTAACGAGTCCCGGGCCGGCTCCGCCGTCGTCGCTACCGCCTCGCGCCCCGCGCTGAGGAGGTGGAAGAGGGAGAGGGCCCCGCGGACGTTGCCTCCGCTCCGCGCCCCCTCCCCGCCGCCCCGAGCCGCAGCAGCAGCAGCGACTCATGCGAACGCGGCCGGAGGGCAGGTAAGGAACCGGCGTGGCCCGGTGAGCAGAGGCGGGCGACCCCGGCCCCAGCAGCGCTAGGCCCTGGCTCTGGCGCCCGCCCGCGCCCGAAGGCGCCGCGGCGGCCGCCGCCGTTCCCCGCCCCCGCCGGCCCCGAGCCGGGAAGTTGGGGAGAAACTTCTCCCCTCCCCCGGCTCGGCCGGCGGGCGTGTCTCCTTGCCCGCGCTACCTGCTCGGCCCCCGACCGGGTCCGGGTCCCGTCCTTCCCGGTCCCGCCCAAGTCCGACTTGAGGTCCTCGGAGCTTTGGGACACCCCCCAATCCCGCATCCTTGAGGGTGTGGACCACCTGGCGAGGTTTAGTTTTGCCCCCATGGTTGGTGCCGGGGGCAAGGGAAGCGGCCTTTCTGTCCTAGAGGCTGGACGTCTGTCTGAGTGTCGCCTGATGCCTGTGGCAACTGTGCAGGGAGAGAGGAGGACGGTGTGTGGGGCGAGTGGTGAGCCTCTGGCTTCACTTGGTTTGATTGAAAACCGCAACATGTTTAAAGTTTTTCTTTGTTTTGGGTTGGGGGTTGGGAAGTAGACCATTCAGAGTCCGCTTTTACAGCACCTTGCCACCCCACCTCACGTTCGGTTCTCTGTCCACATGTGTTAAAGAAAATTTTGTTTTAAACGGTGTTTTTCTTCTTGATAATTGTTTCCAGCTTTTGCCGTATTGGGCATGGGACAGAGTTGTTTCAGGAAGCTTTGGAAAGTCACGTCTGGTGTAGGAATAGCGTTATTTTTTGTTTAATAGTGAGAGGGACACAGTGTAGTTCGGACTTGGTTGAATTATTTTCTGCATAATTGAACATAGAATAACATACGGTCAAATATTTAATAAATTATTAAATAAAAGTGTAGTAGCACCACTGGTGTGTTTTCACTTAGATGATTTAACATGTATGATATGATGATAGTATGTATATTCGTTCTTTGTAAAATTATAGTGCCATAAGTATCTAGGTAGTTCTAAGCGTATATAAACCATACTTTTTACTTTCTTTATCCGGTTAAGTTTCTGAAGTTAAATTACACTCTAAGGAAAATATTACTAAATGTGTACTTGTGACCATGTGTTAAATCCAGTAACTAGCACAATGCTTGGCACAGAGTGGACAGGAAGCATTTTGAATGGATAGATGATGAAGGGGTGTCTTGAATTAGAAGCCAACGATCTTGTATGCATCACATATAATAGTCATATATTGTACTGTAAGAAAGTTGTATTTCATCAAGGCCATTTTTCTTACAAATGTGTGAGATCCTGCTCTGTTGACTCTTAATTGTGTCTTAATTTTTGCATACTAGCTAAATCTCAGTGAAGAATTTAAATACTGGTTGGCAATTCAGAGGGTCCTAAATTTGAAACAACGACAAAAATTGCCTTTGATCTCAATATAAATACAAGATAGTTCATATCCAAGTTTCCAGGATAAAAGATAAAAGGGTTCTTAAAGTATGTACTCTCTTGTAAGCACAATAATGTTATAATAGCTTTAGTTTTGCAGTTAGTTTTTGCTGACTTAATAAGCCACAAAATTGACTCCTTGCTTTTCAATCGAAAGTGATATTACAGACTTGACCTCTCTTCCTGGGATAGATGGAATTTGTCTTATGATCAAAGTGTAATAGTAATACATGGTTGAAATTTTTTTTTGAGTTTAAGTAATTCTCAAGCTGCAAAAATTAATATTTGTGCAAATGAAACTTATTGTATATAATGACCAAAGAGTAAATATGCTAAAAGAATAGCAGTGACCCAATATAAATGAAATATTACTAATGCAAGATTTGTTTATATTCAAAGTTGAAGTGTGCATCATTTGAAGCTGTAATTTTTTACTGTTAATAGTTTTCTTTACAAATATATTTAGTTTTCAATATAGTGAATTAATGCAATGTGGACATTATTTTTTGTGTTAGCATTATATTAAGAAAGAAATTTAATCAAAAATTTTTGAAAAGCAATGCCAAACCCTGATGTCTAGAAATGCAAGCTTGGGTGATAAAACTTTATTTTAAACAAACAAAACCTGCAAGGAAGTGGTCTTAAAATACAATTAAAGATGGGAGAAGGGAACAGGCTGTGATTAGGAAAGTTCTTTTAACCTGGTGGTGGTCACAGGGGTGCTGGCCTTAGTATAATTCATTAAGTTGTACATTTGTGTGCTTTTCTAAAACTGTTTTATTTCACATGGAACTTCTTTATTTTTTAAAGAAGCCCATGTGTAATGAAAATAAGGGGCTTGGATTGAGAATTTAGTATTTGGTGGTGAATAACTTTGGAACACTGCCTAGACTCTCCTTTGCAAACAGGATTAGACTTACTAAATCATAATTGTTATATACTGGCTGGTGTTTATAACTGCCTTGAAAATGTTGCATACTCACTTCTAAATGTTCAATAATTGAAGAATTTTGAAAAAATTTTAATAAAGTTATGGGTTTTCTATGTTAATTACTTTAATTTTGATTGCAGACACTAGGTTTTACTAATTTATGCATTTTAAAAAAATTTTTATGTATTTTAAGTGATAGCTTAAGTTTAAGTGCTCAGTTTAAGTGTCAGCTATATGTGGCAAACCCCAAACTAGAAGATGCTGTGGGCAACTTTTGCTGCTTCTGAAATGTTGTTGCTCAGTTTATAAATATGCCAAGTAAATAGCAGTAGCATCTTATCCTTTTACCTCTACTAGGAAATCAAAATGTGCTTATTGAAAAATGGATACTATTCTGTAATCAACTACCCTATTTTTCAGAAAAGTAGGTAAAATGAAAAAACAGAACTTTATGACATCAAAATAATAAGCATTATTATTTTCAGTTTTATAGAACAGTAATTCTTTAGATCAGTAATTTCAGCCTTAGTTCCAATAGTCTTAGGATGTTGTGAAATTCTCAGTGCAAAATATGTTTACATTTACTTAAATTTTATGAAGATGTATAGTACCTGAGGGGAGAATATGTTTTGTTTTTTTTCTCCAAAGAAAACAAATGATTGTCTGGTGTTTGAGATTCAGAAATGCAGAGAATCATTGCTTATGCTACTTTACTTGCATTGTGTAATGTTTACTCACTGTTTTAGATGTCGATGTTGTTGCTTTGCATTGTTGTCGAGTTAAAGAAGAGATCATGCTCTGTGCCAAATTCTTATATCACAGGAACTCTGTCATGTTATAAAGGTGATGTTTGTGCTACTGGCCTTGTTGTGTGGATGTTTACAGGAAGTTTTAGTAAGATCTTTCATTGTTCAGAACCCTAAATGGCTTAGGTCACCTTCAGTTCATATTTAAATAGATTTATAATATAAATACAAGTCCTCTAGCAAGGTACGACTAATTTTCTTTAATAATCTATTCCTATTAAGGTATTTTGATGTCTTATCAGTAGTGTGTGCAGCAGTTTGTGTGTGCCTGTGGTAGGGTATGTATTATCTCTTTTCTTCCTCTCAGCTGCTCCAGTGCCACAATTAGGCTGCGTATTGCTCAGCTGCAGCTGCTGGGTGATTATGAACCATCCAGCTCCTGTCTAAACTCAAAGGCAGATTTAGCAAAAGGAGCTATAGTAACTGCAGAGGGTGAAAGAGAAGAGCTGGTGTTGCTGCCAATATCATTTTAATGTGTCTGTATGCCAAGGAATCATTGGCTGCAGCAGCACTACTGTTGTCTCAGAACTAACAGACTTGATAGCAATATATCCTTGTCTGGATTGGGTTTACCTTTAAGATCTTGGAACCCACTTCGGGAAAGACAGAGAATCCTGTAATTGCAGAGTATAGCACAGTGTAGTATGGTACTGATATACTGAATTACAAGCCACTGCGCGTCAACTCCTCCCCACTCCCCATCCCTGGGTAGCAATGCCCTTCACTTGCTGTTGTTTGAGTGTACAGTAAGATTAGAGATTGAAAATTCCTTGACTCATACACAGTATACTCCATTCTGCTTTAAACTGGAATTCTTAGAATAGCTATTGTTGTTTGGAAGGTGGCGTGATTGCTGATGGACTCCCTGCTTTCTCCTAGAAAGTGGAAGAACCTCAAGAAGGATTATTTCTAGAACTAGATACACAAGGCATATCCCCTGTTGCTGCCTGAATTTTACCAGAAGAAACCCTAGATTCTTTTCTCCTCGGTCCTTCACCTTATTCCTGTTGTTTGAGAAGATGAACATTAACAAACACAGACCAGTGTCAGCTATATGTGGCACACCCCAAACTAGAAGGTGCTGTGGGCAACTTTTGCTGCTTCTGAAATGTTGTTGCTCAGTTTATAAATATGTCAAGTAAATAGCAGCAGCATCTTATCTTTTTACCACTACTGTATACTGAAAATCTGGAGACATTTTTTTTGCTAATCCTGACTTGACTTAGTTGTTCCGGGTTTGGCTAATTTGTGATGGGGGTTAGAGAGCACTCACACTTTTATAACCTAAAGGAAGGAAGAGGAAAGGAAGGAAGAGGTACAGGAAGACTATACACTTGAGTATTATCAAGTACACAGACATAATTAATGACACTGGTGTGATCATCTCTTCCTTTGTGTTCTCACAAAACCCATATGACAGCACATTTTTTGCATTATAACCATTTGTTTCCATGGCTGGACTTATCCTTGACGTAGTGTTCACTGTGGTTAGGACATTTTCATATTAATCCTTGACAAAGCCCCTAGTATAATACAAAGTAAATTTTGAACTGTATTCATGGATGTGTCCGAGCATAGTTATACGACTTCGTAACTACAGATGATTTTTAGACGTGACAAATATTTCAGGTATACCTTTAATAAAATTTTATAAAGTTAACAGTACTTTTTCATAAGTTAAAAGTTAAATGAATTCTTTAGACTTTTGTTTTCAAAGTTTTATTCTAGATAGTGATTTCGTAAAACAATTTAAACAGTCTTGCAAATATGAATTTATAGGTCATTTTGATATTTCTTCTTTTTAAAAATTTTTTGGTTATATATGGACACAATACC